CAGTACACTACCAGGGTAAATGAACTTATCCACAGCATTCAAAACTTCTCCATTTGCTGCAACTAATGGCTCTACCAATGGATGATGAGGTGGTAGCTGATGAAGCACCTGCCTTTTCTGGGTGTCAACTGTTAGACCAAAATTAGCACAAGCGGCACAGAATTGATCCATACTTTGTTTCATCTGAGGACCTAAACACATACAAACAGCAACAATAAAAACCTCAAAAAACTCCAAAACAAAAGCAAAACCAAAAAAACTTCATGGATGCACCCTCACAGCAAACTCTGGCATTTAACAGACTATGTGAACACAAGGAGAAGACACAGACAGAATGTGGGAATGACGAAGGCATGTGTGGTGCAGAGGGCTGGACTAATCATAGACTTATCCTCTACAAGCTAAATGCTCACATTCAACAAAAGCGGCATCCCCAAGACAAAATGCCTACCAGAAGAATTAATGTCAACAGATTAGAGCTTTTCTCTGAGCCAGAACAGTTTGTGCTAACTTGGAGGGAAAGCTGAGCCAACACACAGTTGGTAACAGAGGAGCAGAAAAGGAGTGGGCAGCTTTCAAAGATTTGGTATATAGCACTGCATGTGCTTATCTGGGTCAGAACACTCACAAACACCAAGACTGGTTTGATGAAAATGAAATTCAGAAGCTGCTAAGTGAAAAAACAGTAACTCCACAGTTTATGAGCAGGATAGTTCATCCATCTCTAAGAAGGCAGCACTTAATTCCATCAAAAGTAAAGTACAAGCAAAGCTTAGAGGGTTGCAGGATTCCTGGCTCAGTAAGAAGACAGATGAAATTCACTTTTATGCTGATACTAACAATCCAAAGCATTTTTATGATCCCCTGACGGCTATTTACGGGCCAAAGACTTATGATGCATCTCAATTACTCAGTGCTGATGGAGCCACATTAATTAGTGATAAGGATATGATCCTAGGGAAATGGGCTGAACACTTCCATAGTGTTCTCAACAGACTGTCATCAATCAACGCTGAGGCCACTGACTGTTTACCTCAGGTTGAAATCAATCTCTCCCTACCTGAAGTTCCAACTGAAAAAGTGGCTTTGAATGGCATTAGGCTCCTTTCATGTGGCAAAGCACCTGGTGCTGATTCTATTCCAGCTGAAATTTATAAGGTAGGGAATCCATTGCTCATACAAAAGCTGGCTGAAATTTTCCAGGTTATATGGCAAGAGGAGGTTATCCCCCAGGAGTTCAAAGATGCCTCCATTGTCCATCTCTACAGTGTGGGGGAGGGCTCTCTCTCTCTTACTCATTGCTGTCAAGATTCTTGCCAGAGTCCTCCTTAATAGGCTGATCCTTTATCTGGAAGATGGTCGTCTACCGGAGAGCCAGTGTGGCTTCAGAAAAGGCCAAGGAACAGTCGGTAGGGTGTTTGCTGCCTGACAACTCCAGGAGAAATACCAGGAACAGAACAGAGGTCTGTACACAACATGTGTAGATCTGATCAAGGCTGTGGATACTGATAGTCATGAGAGCTCATGGATCAATTTCATCAATTTCATGATGGAATGCTTGCCTGGGTTCTGGATGATTGACAATGCTCTTGTGCTTTCCCAGTCACCAATGGAGTGAAACAAGGCTGTGTGCTTGCTCCCATGCTTTGTAGCATGATGTTTTCAGCCATGTTGTCAAATGCTTTCAATGACGATGAATATGGCATCAAGGTCAGCTATGGCACTGTCGAGAAATTCAGGCTTGAAAAGGCAACAAGCCAAATTCAAAGTGGAGGGAGTGTTGGTGCATGATTTTCTGTTTGCAGATGATTGTGCATTCAATGCAGGCTCTGAATTAGGAAGATACTAAATTCAGATAAGGTGTTGTCCCTGCCCTTGCACAGCTTATTAACCACTGGTGAAAATGAGACTTTAGACTGTATCTGTGCATACTAATTACCAAACTACTTGAATAATTTGCCAGAGTAATCAATAATTGGGTGCATTCATTTTGATCAACTGATTAATGGTTTCCAAGCATCTTACATCTATCCACACAGTTTATTGACGGTTACAAAATTTTTAGTTCTGGAATCTTGCAAAGAGATAGGATGCCATAGCTGGAAGATGAACTAACAATCAAGAGACAGAGAAGCATTTTCATCACTTAGGGTCATAATATATTTATCCTCAGCTTATTATGTATAAACTTATCATTACCTGTTTACATGTTACGTACGTACAGAGGGAATGGAAGATTCTTGAGGACAGAGGTCTGTTATTTTATTTTTGTATCCTAGAATCTTGATCAGTGCCTTGTCCATATTTTCTTTTTGCTTGAACCTATGGTTTTATTAGTAAAGGGAACTTCTAGTGTTGAAATTCTGTCCACCAATACTTATCACAATTGGTCTTTAATTTATCATCTCTATAAGAGCTGCCTGATGATCTATGGTCAAGAAGCTAGTATGTGTCAAAGGTTGGACTTAAACCTAAGATTCTTGACTCTGAGCCCACATTTTATCCACTGATGTCAAACAGGAACAGATCTCTATCTCTGCATATTGACTTAGAAAACAAAAATTACATTTACCTTGTATTATATTTTTATGTATTTTGCTAAGCATTTCAATCTTGTTCAGGCTGCACTAGGGAGTTCTGTGGGCTGCTGGGAACCTTTGAAACTTCTGCATTATACCATGCATTTTCACCTTGTGCGGGACAGGCCTTTAATAAATAAATATTTGTTGGATGGTACTGGACCTATACAATTAGGAGACTGGACTAGATGACCTTTTAGGTACCTCAGAAACTTCATGATTCTGTGAAATACAAGGGAAGAGATAAGGTATAATTTGAAGGGAGAGTTTTAGGGTACTGTTTTACCTGTCAGGCCTTGAGAAATATTCAACATCTTACATCACCTTTTACTAAGTGGACTTGTGGGATCAGAAGCATCTATAGGGTCATAATCAGTAAACAATTAAGTATCTATTATGTACCAGGTGCTAGAGATGAGATGACAAAAATGAAAGTCCCTTCACTCATAGAGATTTCATTTTATCAGAAGTCCACATGTACACACACAACACAAATTATACATAAAAGTGAGATAATTTTTGCATGGAGATAAAAGGAACTAAGACATTTAATAAGAGCTTCAGGTGTGACTTGTCTCATCACACAGAGACTAAGTGACTAAGCTGGAATTTAATCCCAGGTCTTCTGACTACATATAGGGCTCTTTCCACCAGGATTTCCACAAGGGTTGAAGGGCACCAGGCATAGAGAATAGAATGAGGCAGAATTTGAAGTGGGCTTTGAAGGGAACTAGAAAACGAAAGAAATAAAGATGAAGATGGAGTGCATTCCAGGAATGGAGGACCTTCTGTGTAAACACAGACTGGAGATGGGATGTTGTGTGTAAGGAAGAGCAAGGAGGTCAGTTTGGCCAGGACCAGGAATAATATATAATAATCCTGGAAAGGTAGATTGGATCCTAGTTGGATACCAAACATTAGGGTTCCTATCTGATCTTACATTGGAGTTCACTGAGCAAGGCAGTAACACTATCAGACTTCTTTTAAAGGAATATGACTTCGGTAGCTGGAAGGAGGTCAGATTGAAAAGGTGAGAGACTTTGAAGTTGGGTGACCAGTTAGGAAGCTGTTACAATAGTCTAGGTGAGATGATAACGGCCTGAACTAGGGTGGCTGCCATGTGAGTGGAGAGAAGAGGATGGATTCAAGAGATGTGGCAAAGGCAGAATGAGAAGATTTGTCAACTAGTTAGATATATCTGGTAAGGAAGAATGAAGACTTTGAGGTTGAACAACATCTAGGTGACTGGAAGGAGGATGGTACCATCCACAGAAAAAGGGAAGTTAGAGAGAGGGGTGGCTTTGGTGGGGAAAAGATAACAACCTGTTTTACACATGTTGAGGATGTGATGTGACATTCAGTTGGAAATGCCAAGTTAGACACAACCCTTAATCATAGGTGGCAGATCTTTTAATGACACTAGTATTGCTAATAGGATCATAGACCCAGAACTTAAAAAAACAAACAAAAAACCTTCCACAGAGGTCACCTAGTCTAACACCCTTATTTTACACATGGGGAAACTGAGGACCCGAGAAGTTAAGTGACCTGATCGGGATCACAGAGCTGGGATGTGAAGCTCTTCCCACCCTACCACCTGCAGCCTCCCTTTATGCAGCTCAATCCTTTGTGCTGCTCCTAAGATGGCACTGTGGATGTTTGGACGGGGTCGGGACGGGGGTGTGGGGGAACCCCTGGAGGCGCATCCACTGGGTCCCACAGTGTAAGGAAGGGAAGGGCTGGGCCTCAATCGTGGTACTCACCCCCATCCGGGAGGGTGAGTGCAGCTGGTGCACCGGGTACCCATCCTCCTCCTCCCAGGGGTGCCCCGCCCCCCCCGCCACTAATCGGGAGTCGAGCGGGATTTGCCTTCTCTTTACACCCCAATCCCCAAGCCCTCGCCCTTCCCGCCCAGTCTCCATCGGACCCCCAGCCTGGCAGCCCCCGCACTAGACAGTGGAAGCGACTCAGGGCGCGTGCGTACACACTCACACATATACACACATTCCCGCACTACTAGGCTGGGGGGGCGGGGCGACGACGGGAGGAGGGAAGAGGAAAAGGGGCGGGTCCGGCCCCCCTCCCTGTCTCCGAGAACCAACAGGCTGCGAGAGGATGACCCGGTCTCTTTAAGGCCGCGGGACCCTCGGTCCAAGCTACCCCGCGACCAATCGGCGCGGCCGAGGGGCCCCAGCGCGGCTGACGCGGCGCCAATCGGCAGCCGCGGGGGGCGGGGGCAGCTCCGGAGACACTATTGTTGATGAGGAGCGAGGAGCCGCCGCTGCCGCGGGAGCAGCAAGCAGCGGGACCAGCGGCGGCGGCAGCAGGAGCAGCGGTAGCGGGGGCCGCGGCGGCTGCACCGGCTCGGGGCTGCCCGGCCTCCAGCCGCCTGGAAGGGGCCCGGCCCGCGGCCTCGGGGCCTCGCGGAGCAGCCCCCCCACCCCCCCTGCTTGCAGCGCGGCCCAGGGAGGGGGCGTCATGTCCCAGCGGGTGAGGCGCAATGGGTCCCCCACGCCTGCCGCCCCCCTCAGCGGAGGCGCGGGCCCCGCGCCGGGCCCCGGCCCCGGGGGCGTCCCCGGGAGCCGCCTGCAGCCCATGAGGGCCACGGTGCCGTTCCAGCTGAAGCAGCAGCAGCAACAGCAGCAGCAACATGGCAGCCCCACGCGGAGCGGCTGCGGCTCCGGCGGGTTTAACAACAGCGGCGGCGGTTCGGGACCCCAGGGAGGAGGAGGAGGAGGAGGAGGTGGAGGCGGCGGCGGCGGCGGCGGCGGAGGAGGAGGAGGAGGAGGTGGCGGCGGCGGCGTCAACGTCCCGCGCACCTCCTCGCGCAGCACGAGCCCCACGCGCGCCGGCGCCGGCGGGCCCAGCGCTCGCGCCAGCCCCACGGTGGCCACGCAGACGGGCGCGCCCCCGACGTCCACTCGGGGCACGAGCCCCACGCGGGGCGCGAGCGCGCGGGGCAGCCCTCCTCGCTCTCAGCAGCCGCCGCCCCCCCAGCCGCTCCTGGGCACCGTGTCGTCCCCCTGCTCGTCCCCCATCCATCTCCTAGCGAGCGACGCTATCACATCCCCTGGTGCCGCCCGGGTCCGACCCCCGAGGCGGTCCCCGGAGCAGAGCCGCAGTTCCCCGGAGAGGAGAAGCCCCAGCTCCCCGGTCTGCAAGGCGGGTATGTGCCGGAGGGGGCGCTGCGGGGAGGGCTGGGGCGGGGCCGGGGCCGGCGTGAATCCCCGCGCGGAGCGTGGAGCTTGACCCGGGCGCCCGGTGGCGCGGCGCGGGGCTCGCGCGGCCGTGGCGGTTGGGGGCGGGGTTAGGGCGGCTAGCCTTGCTCGTGCTGCTGGTGACCCCGCCCCCGACCCATCCTAGATGCTCCCCCCCCGTTTCTTTTTTTGGGGGGACAATGGGCTCATTGAACTGGAGTCCACCATGTGCGGGTTTCCAAGGAGGGGGGCATGCCTGTGCCACCAGCTTGCCTTGATTAGTGTTAATCAATAAATGGGGAGGTTTGTCATTCCTGGGAGTTCAGTGGTTTAACTCTCTTTTTGTTGAACATCCTCTCCTTTTCTAAGGGAAAAAAATAATAAAAAACCCAACAAAACCCCCAAACTTGTTAAATGAAACAGTTCGAATATGGAGTAAAGAAAGCGTGGTTTGCCCACTGTGGGCTTTGTTTGATGAAATGGTTAAGTGCCTGTTGCTGCTTTGCTTCCTTCCCGCACCGCCAAAAAACCATCAAATTCAGAGAGCTCAAGAGTCCTCTCTGCAAACTTTCCTCCCTGTAGAGCAGAGATTCTTAATCTGGGTTTGTGAACGTGTTCCTAAAAAAAGGTTTCCTAACTGTATTTTAAGGGAATTCGTTTCCTTTGTAATATGTATTTTTTGAATCTAAAGACTTTATTCTGAGAAAAAGATCTGGATTGCCAAAGGTGCTTAATGCTATAAGAAAAGATTAAAGGACGTCTCCTGAAACTCTAGAAAACTTGAAAGAAATAGTAGAGCTAGCTTTTGGTTTCATTAGTCATTGATGTTAGCAGAAGACAAGATGCAGGACTTTTTAATGGTAGTTCTTTTCTTACTAGGATAATTTATATATCAGAGGAAAATATGTGGGGTGTTTTTTTTTGTTAGAAAGATAAAGCATTTAGACATTCGGAGGAGTTTTAAGAAACTGCATTTCTTAAATCAAGCATATATAGCCAAAAATTGTTTAGGATGGAAACATCTGCATTCAGAGTCAGGTTTAACATCATGTAGATGTGTTTGTAGTGATAGAACTGTTTGTAAAACACAGGCTGTGTGTCTGGGAATTTGCTGTTTGGGTTCATTGATCAGATACATCTTTTTAAAAAATTTCCATATTCAGAAACATGTTTCCTCCAATTAATACGTTACTATTCCATAGGGTTGGAAGCTGTGCTTGAAAAAGAGCAATAGGCATAGGTTGTAGGTGTTGTAATGTCAGCGGTTGATAGAAATCTACAAAGAAGAACTTTTGAAGAGACTAAAATGGTAGTATCTGGAAAGGGCTAGAATGGACTCTTATCATGTGGTTCCTTCCCTGTTAGATTTTAGTGAAATCTAACCTGGGAGGGGTGATTTTTAGATATTTGGTAGCACTGCTTGTATGCTTTTGTACTCTTACTTCCCAGGGACATCACATTGAAAATAGAAATTTCAGGCAATCAGTTAAACCTTTATTAAGAGTCTACTATGTGCCAGGCTTTATGCTTAGAGCTGGAGATATAAAAAGAGGTGAAAGATAGTCCCTGCCCTTAAGGAGCTTACAGTCCTGTGGGAGAAGAAGTGCAAACAAATATATGCAAAGCAAGCTAAACGTAGGATAAATAGGAAATAACTAACAGAAGGAAGGCATTGGAATTAAGAGGAGCTGGGGGAGGCTTCCTGTAGAAGGTGGGATTTTGGTGGGGACTTAAAGGAAGCCAGGAAACCCATTCGGCAGAGATGGGGAGGGAGAGCATTCTAGGCATGGGGGACAGGTAGAGAAAATGCCCAGAGCCAAGAGATAGCATGTCTTGTTAGTGGAACAGCCAGGAGGCCAGGTCACGGGATTGAAGAGTATGTGTTGGGGAGGAATATGTAAGAAGACTGGAAAGGTAGGAGGGGGCTAGACTACGGAGGATTTTGGTTGTCAAACAGAGCGCATTTTGTATTTGTTCCTGGAGGCAATGGGGAGCCACTGAAATTTATTGAGTATATGTGTGGTGAGGGAGAGAGCGGGACAGGGTTGAGGAGACAATGATCAGGCCTGAGCTTTAGGAAAATCACTTCAGTGGCAGAATGGAGGATGGATTAGAGTGGGGAGAGCCCTGAGGCAGCAGCTATTGCTATAGTCCAGATGTGAAGTGATGAGGGTCTGCATCCGAGTGGTGGCAGTGTGAGAGGGAAGAAGGGGGTTATTCGAGAGATGTTTCAAAGTGAAATCAGCAGGCCTTGGCAACGGTTTGTCTTTGGTGAGGGGGATATGAGAGATAGTGAGGAGTACAGAATAACTCCCAAGTTTCCAGTCTGAGGAATTAAGAGGATAATGTTGCTTTCCCTTCACAGTAATAGGGAAGGGGAGTTTAGGAGGAAAAAATGAGTTCTGTTTTGGACATAATTGTTTAAGATGTCTCCTGTGCATCCAGTTCTGAAAGTCTGAAAGATAGTTGGAGATGTAAGATTGGAGGTCAGCTGAAAATTTGGAACAGGATTTGAGAATCATCAGCCTAGATATGGTAATTAAGTCCATGGAAGCTGATGGAGAAGAGAAGAGAGGGTGCAGGACAGAACCCCGAGGGACACCTGTCTTAGAGAGTACACTCTAGAGGAGGATCCTACAAAGGAGACGTAGGAGCTGTCAGATAGGTCAGAGGAAAACCAGGAAAGAGGGGCATCCTGAATACCCAGAGAACAGTGTTGTCAAGGAGGAGAAACTGATCAACAGCTTCAAAGACTGCAGAGATGTCAAGTAGAATGAAGATGAAGAAAAAGCCGTTGAATTTGGAGAGAGCAGTTTCAGCGGAATTTTAAGTTTGGATGAGGGGTTAAGAGAGAAAATGGAGGCACCTAGTGTAGACAGTCTTTAGTTTAGCTCCAAATGGCAGAAGAGATAATAGGATGGTGTCAGAGGTGGAAGGATCAAGTGAAGGTTTTTTCAGAATGGAGGAGAAATGGACATGTTTTTAACAGGAATAAATGAGCCAGTAGAGAAGGAGAGATTGAAAGTAAGTGAAAGAGTGAGGATGACAGAGGGGGCAGTCTGTTGGTGGAGATGAGATGGAATGGGATCACTTGAACACAAATAAAGAGGTTAGTAGGTAAGGAGTAACGCCACTTCCTGTGAAATGAGGTGAAGGAGGAAAGAGTGTTAGAAGAGGCATCTGAAAAGGGGAAGACAGGGTGCTCACAGTGAATGGCCTTTTTATTTTATTTTATTTTTTTGGTAAAATAAGGTTGTCAGTTGAGAGAGTGGGAGGAGGGGGAGAGCGATGGAAGCTTGGAAAAGAGATGAAAAGGTTTGGAAGAACAGCTGTAGAGGGTGGGATCATGAGTTGATAAGAGATATATATAGTAGGATTGCCTAGAAGCAGTGAAGACCCAGTTGAGCTTATGTAATATAAATTTGTAGTGGACCCATTCAGAACTGCTGCATGATTTTTTCCATCTTCCTTCATTCAGTAGCTTGTATGGAGGAGCAAAGGTGGCAAATTATGGGAGACATCCAAGATTGAGGGGTGACTGGGTTAATTAGCAACGTAATGATATGATGGCGGGCAGGGTAGGAGAGAGAAGGGATTCAAGAGAGGAGAACGATGTAGACTTGAATTGGTTGACCAAGGAATTGAGATGAGGGGAAAGGAAGGGAATGGCTAGTACAGAGGATATAATCTGAGGGACATTTGACCTAGTCATTATTTTCTAAGTTTGGGGGAAAGTGTTCTCGAACTTTCAAAATGAATGGAGTTGGAGGATGAGGATATCTATATTTCAGAATATAATTTGTCTTGGGATGTCTAGGTCATCCCAGAGACAGTTCACAGTGACAGGGGAGGCATGGAGAAGGTTGGAGCTTCTTAGGTAATCTGGTGGCACAGTGAAAGGTGGCTAAGGAGTTAAAGCAATTTGCCTTTGATTGGAAGTGCTCCTCCTATTTCCATTACAAGAAGAGGAGGAGGTCCTTCAAAAAAATTTTGTGCATATTCATATCAATGAGCACCATGCTACTTTTGTCACCTGACATTGCCCAGCTCTTTACCATCTTACGATCATAGATATCTAGAGCTAGGAGGGTCTTGGTTCAACTCTCATTTTTACATATGAGAAAACTTAGGCCCAGGGTGTTTGTGACTTGGTTAAGGTCACATGGGTAGTAAGTACTATGCTGCCTGGTGTCTTTCAGCCTCATTCTCTCTCCCCTCTCCTTTCACCTCAGAATAAAAACTCCCATTTCTCTAAACATACAGTATCAGTTACAACTACATGTTCTAGAGAAAACAATCTGCTCACTAATTCACACCAAAGTAAGAATGACTGTCCTGCCCTGGCTAAGTCTCTCGGCACACATTCAGGATCTGTGTAGAAACTTCTGGATAGAGGCAACACCATTTGCCTCCTCCAGGAAGAGAAGGGAGTATGTGACCCTTTCCTCTCTTTTAATAGAGGGAGAAATTGCTCTTTTTCCCCTCCTCTTCAGTTTCCTATTGTCCTCCCAATCTTTGCCCATAAAAAAGGATCATGGTCAGGGAGAGTAAATCCTGTGTTTATTCTTCTTTAGGTTGAGTTGTAACTCGTTGGCTAACTTGGACCCTAGGTTGGTTTGTCCAGTGTACTGTCCAAGCTGAAGCTTGCCCGCCCTAATAAAGTCATTAGTTCTAACTCTTCCTAGGGTGACTCTGAACCAAAAGTTTTGCTCCCATTATGGAAGGAAGGCTGACAGGAGAGACTTGGATATGGATTTTGTATGCTTGTAACTTTTGAAGTCTCAATTTTATCACCTATAAAGTGGAGAGAATAATAGTAGTAGTAGCTGTTTCACAAGGTAGTTGTGAGGGCCATATGAGATAGTTTGTAAAGCTTAGTGTTATATAAATTTTTATCAGGACTATAGTAAGGCTTGTTTTTGGTGCCCCTTTTCTTCCTATATTGACTTATGCCTGGGTACTCAAGGAA